GGAAGGGAGAAGAGAGGACGAGAGGAGAGAATTCAGAAAGGATTCTAAGGTTGTTCGTTAATTAGAAAGTTGTAGGCAAAATCCTAGCATGCCAATATTCAGTAAAGCCTCCCATTTCTACCAGTACCAAGCAGACAATCCAAAATAGCAAAACAGAAAATTTCTGAGAGTACTACTAATTACCAGCTAAGTAACAGAATTATTCCATTTCTAGATACTCAAAGCTGGTACACCAGCTCAGCTCAGTGGATATTTTTCTTCTTTTTTTGATAATAAACCTTGAGTGCGTTGCCATCTCCCTCAGTATTCTTCTTACCATTTTGACCCGAGTTGTGTTGGGTCTCAACAACTTTTCTGCCTTTGGAAACTTCCTTGTCCTCAAGAAAAAATTCTGGAAATTGCTTCTTTAGAAAAATGATGTCTTCTCAGGTAGTCACCTCTGGTTCCAGTTAGCCCACTGCACCCAGACTGCTCGGTTGTCTGTCTTCCTTTCTGGACAGTTCTCTTCTGCAAAATTCTAAGCAGTTCAATTTTTGGGAGTCCCTCTGTGTCCACTGCAGGCAATTCATCACAATGAACATTGCTTCTGAAAATAAATTTCTTCATGGAACACAGGATGTATTCTAGCACGATCAGGTAATTTCAATTTGTATGCAGCTGGTGGAAAACCTTAAGGCTCCAGGAACACGTTGGAAAAACTGCCCAACAGCTGCTGCTTCAGGCTGTTTGCTTCTGGATTCTTAGCTCTTTCTCCTTCCAGACTGCCATTTCCGCACACAATACAGCCGCATTTGACTGCTATTTCTTCCTCATCATTCTGCTCAACCCATTACAAGTCTTCTTAATTTGTTATTCTCTACCAGCCCCATCAGTTTAATTTCTCTTCCATCCATAGTCAACGATACAAGATTGTACAAAATCAAAGTTAATGGGCCTGAACTGCCTCATGCAGTCTACTCCAAGGATCATATAATAGCAACCCAGTTGTAAGATTCTGGAGCTGTAACAGAATCTATAGCTCTGCATTTTCTTGAACTTCTACACATTTCCTGTGACTAGTAACATTTTGTCCATTGGCCACAACAATGCTAAGAATCTTCTTATTCACTACTTTGTCCTTTAGCTGTTCAGCCACACCTACACCCAAGGAGGGATGCAAGTGGCCGCTATCCAGTAATATAACAATTTGTTCTTCTCCAGGATCCCTTTTATTCCTACAGGCCTCCCACAACTGCATCTTCAATAGTCTGCAAGGATATAGTTACTTGAATAGGATATGTTCTATAGGCTCGTACTTCTGTTTCCTTGAGTTCTAAGGAGACAGAATTTCAAGTCTGGTGGATGAATCATAACCGTGTGATCAGAGCGTGATTAATGGCAGAGACAGTTCTGAATCGTTGATGAGAGAAGATCGTTCCTAGTTGGGTTGGATCTTGGGTAGGGTGGTTACTCGGTTGTCTGACAGACTAATCAAAAATAGTTCCTGCCCCTTCTACCTCTGTTTCTACTCCCTCTTTTTCTCTGGCTCCTCCTTACACCCTTCCATGGTCAAAACAGCCCTGTGTTCATATTGATAACCTGGGAAGAATCTCTCCCCACATTTGAAGCAAGAGTTGAAGTGTCTTTTGTGGTCATTCGAGTTGGCTTTTTGGTGATGGTAGGGTCCTGTTTTTTGGTATGTTTGCATTTTAGTGGTGGCTTCCATTGCAGAGTAGGTATATGATGAGCGTTTTTTGGTTGAGACAGGGGGCTGTAGGTTGTGGTGTGTGGTTGTTTTTGAAGGATTGCTGGTGGAATTGTATGGATAAATTTTTTGGTTTTCGGGACCTTGCTTCCACAACTTGTTCTTGAACCAAGGCCTGTTCAAAAGCTTGGTTTAAATTTTTCGGTTTAAGGAGTTTGAGCATGGTTTAAGTTCGTCATTCAATCCGCTTATAAAGCTGGAAACAAAGTATTTCTCACTAAGGATTGGGATCTCCATCAACATCAATGAATGCAGCTCTTCAAACTGCTCCTGGTATTTTAAAACAGTCCCCTCTTGAGTGAGTTTATTAAACTCCTCCACAACATCAATATTGGCTGCTTCCCAAAGATTCTAGAAAGTTCTTCGACAAACTCATCCCTGCACTGAACCTCATTCAGACTTCCCACCCTTGATACAATAAATCAGCCGTTTCAGCTAAAACTGGACTCACCAGCTCGATTCTTTGCTCCTCCACAACTCTATGTACCTGAAAATACTTCAGGCACCTCCTAACCCAGGACTGCAGGTTTCCACCCTAAAAAATGGGTATTGCTACCCTTAGAAAGGCACTATTTGAGTTACCCTGACTAGAGTCTGGACCGTTATTGGTCCTCCCTGCTCCCTTGTCCTTGAAGTGGGTAAAACACCCTTGTGAGGCTGACTAGGTAAAGGGGAAGAAGATGCCCGGGCTGGTGCTTCAAGGGGTTGCAGCATGCTGTGCACTATTTCTACCAGACTTTCAAAGTGTGCTCCCAGCGTTGCTTGTTTCTGTTTCTCTGTTTCTTTGAGCTCATCAGAATTGTGCTGCATAGTATCTTAGATTTCTGTCATGAAGCCTTTCAGTTTCTGGTTGAATTCTTGCACCGAGTCTTCCAAGAGTTGAATATGTCGATGATTTGTTATGGCAGCCTTTCTGGTTGTGCGTGCCATCACAAATCTAGATGTCAAGGTGTCCTCAGTATCGGAGAGCTCTTATATCAAGTTGTTAGGAGCTTCAGACGTGAATTCCTCTGTGAATTTGTGTGAGAGTGAGTGAGAGATAAGGAGTTTTAGATTGAGTAGAAAGGACAGAAAAAAAAGATTTTAGGGCTTGAATGAGAAAAGAGAAGGGAGAAGAGAAGATGAGAGGAGAGAATTTAGAAAGGATCCTAGGACTCCTCGTTAGTTCAGAAAGTTGTTGGCAAAATTTCTAGTATGCCACCATTTGGGACAAACTTCCTATTTTCATCAGTACAAAGCAAAAAATCCAAAATAGCAAAGCAGAAAAATTCTGAGAGTACTACCTATTACCAGCTATGGTAACAGAATTATTCCATATCTAAATACTCAAATCTGGTATGCTAGCTCAGCAAAGCGGATATTTTTCTTCTTTTTTCGATAATAAATCTCGAGTACCTTGCCACCTCCCTCAGTATTCTTTTTACCATTTTGACCTGTCTTTGGGGTGTTAACAGTTTACTTGTGGTCACTCTACTCCATGTATTCTCTCTTTACATTTGTGTTACTTGGGGCCTCGAGTTCTATAAGATCATGGGATATCATGTCCTGTTTGATTGACTGACCTGTGTTCTGTTAGGTCTCTTAAAACCCTACTAGTCCTTTTTATATATATGTTTTAAAAAAAATTCTAATCTTTGTGAATTTTTGAAGTTGTTCTTTGGGTGCTTGAGAGGGTTGGAAGTTTTTGTGTAACCAATCTGAATCAAATTGTGTGATGATTTTTCCTTCTGGCACTCAGATGCTGCAAAAAGGACATATCTGATGGATCAACTTATGCAGGTGTGGATGAAGCATCTCTGCTTGAGTTGATGTCTCAAACACAAAAGCTAAAAAATCTTTGCTTGAGGGATACTCACCTTACAGATATTGCTCTCTATAATTTCTCAGGTTCTTCGTTGGAGATGCTTGATGTTTCTAACACTAAGGTTAATCATCTGATTTACAGATTCTGATGCTTGTTTCCTTTAAATGTGTTTAATGTAGGTGGATACGGGTCTTTTTTCATTATTATTGTCAGTTTGTGGACACCATTTAAAGAATAGACATTGGATGATCTCTTACTTCTTTCCAACAAAAATTCTGAACAGATTGTATAATTGATTCTAACTACCTCTTAAATAATCTATAATTTCTGAAAGAAGTATATGGTTTATTGTTATTTCTTTTGTTTGATTTTTGTCCTGTAGTGAAGACAATCTTCTGTATTATATTGTTTTGTGGTGGTACTTTGGTATTTATGTTGTGATATCCTTTGTTAACCACAAAGCATTCGTCTTTTCTTCGGTGTTGATAATTAGCTGCGCATATATAGACTGACTCTCTTGCTAAGGTTTGTGTTATATATAAAATCATGTGGCTATGTGTAGTAAATGAAATTTCTCACCAACCTGCAGATTTCCAGCACTGCAGTCGCTCATATTGCTCGTAGAAATCCTGGTTTGAAGTGCTTGGAAGCAAGGGGCTGTAGAAATTTGCATCAGCAAGAGAAAACTGAAGGAGCAAGGTTCTCTTCCTCTTGCATGTGTAGTGAACTAATTACTGAATTAGGCAGGACATGCATATTGGAAGAAATTGCCATAGGTTGGGGGTTTGCTTACTCATCTCTAGAGGTTCTCAGTTCTGCAGTTACATCGTTACGGGCAATAGCTGTTGGTTTAGGTGGATCATTAGGTGAAGGTGCATTGAAGCTACTACCAACTTTGTGTCCTCTCCTAGAGTCATTAATTCTTCAGTTCCAGGTATTTCTTGTGAAGTGAATATTTAAATATTCGTTTGTTAGGTTGCAACTGTGACAGGAGTATCATATTCTGTCCTTGTTTATCTGCTTGGGATGAGCGTGTTGCTGCTGAATTAATGCAAAAATTTAGTGCTTATGCATATCTTTTTGATTGTTGAAGCATCTATTAAATAAGAGAAATAGGCATTCCATGCATAAGTAGAAAATAGAGATCTCTATCATAATGCCGGTTGAGGTGAGAGTCTTATCATGTTTTTACTCTTAAAAAAACAGAACTTTCTTATTTTCTGGAGAAAAATATCATCAAGTGGCATCTTTCTTATTGTCAGAACTAGTACAAGGAGTTGAGCTTTTACATTGGGACATTTTGTCTTAAATGGTCCCTTATTGTTACTTGTTCGGAATTCAGACTCTTTAGGAAAGTTTCTGGAAAGACTTAACAAATGATAGTGTATTATACTTGTCTCTCATATATAAAGCAAATATTTTGGATTTAACTATTTTCTGGTAATATTGCTTATTTTTCTTGATCTGCTTGTGGTCTCCCCCTCCCTCTAAATTTATATCTCGCTTTTTTTGAAACTAAACCCAATTCATCAAGTTCAATATTTGGTATGCTTGTCCTTACAGGTGATCTCCGATTGCATCATTGCAAATATTATGAAATCACAGAAGCACTTGCAAGTTGTGGCCTTGTGCTACTGTTTTGGTGACATATCCATGTCAAGTTTCAGGTTCTCTGTTCCAAATCTTCGGAAATTGAGGCTTGAAAGGGTTACTCCTTGGATGACCAATAATGACTTGTTTACTTTGACTCAGAACTGTGTCAACATAATTGAGATTTCATTGGTAGGATGCATGCTTCTTGATGCAGGTCAGTGGTTTATTATATTTTAAAGGGCTATCCGTTGCTTTAAAACATATAAACTAATGTTCATTTGTTTCATGAGTTGATTTATGAAAAGATTCTAAGTTTGATTGACTGACTGTCAACGATGATAGATTCTTTATGGAATTGATAACTAATAAGTTTTTTTTTCGCATTTTTCGTTTCTTTGCAGGTGCTCAACAAATTATTTCATTCGGATGGCCTGGCCTGATTTCTCTTCGTCTTGAGGTTTAATTAGTTGTGGATCTTGTATTGTGACAATTTCTAATTTATGCTATTTAATTCATGAGATAATAAGTGTGATCATGATATTTCAACAACAGAATTACAGAAAAGAAAAAAAATCATGAATCCAGATGGAGCCATCTGAATCAAATAACAAATATATCTAGAAGCATCTATAGAGGACACTGTCACCCTCCTAATCCAACATCAGTTTGACTGTGTCAAGTTTCTGAATTATCTGTACAGATGGCACTTGAAAACTTCATAGGAGTGATATCTATTCCTATCCCAAAATGTTTGATATGCATCCATGGCAGTTGATACCCTTTCACCCTCTTTTCCCGCTTTATCTTCTTCAAAGGATAAATGATTTACTACTGGATTTTCTTGTAGTTCATAATTATTTGAAGAAAATTGTTCTCCTAAATTTTCTTATAAATACAAGTATTTGGATGATTGGCAGTGCTTGGTATATTGAATATGTGGTTTTGTGGCTCAGGACTGTGGAGAAGTAACTGCCAATGGAGTTTGTTCTCTTTCGAATTGCATTGCTCTTGAAGAGCTTCTGCTGCGCCATAATGTGAGCTTTTTATTTCTGGCATTTTCTCTGCACTTTGCATGATGTCTTATCCAAGAAGGACGTATGCTATCCCAGTTTTATAGTGTATAGACATGACCTAAACTTTGGTATATATAGCTTTGTGTGAAAAGCTGTATATAGATATATTTGAAGATATTCTCAGAAAAGCTGGGCAATTGACATACTTAAATCTTGTTGAGTATAAATTGTATTATTGGTTTTCCTAGTGTAAGAGTATCATACAGTTTAACTATGGACTTTCTGGGTTATGTTTGTCATTGGTGTTGAAAAGGATTAGAAGTTACTCGTTCTTGGTGCATTTTGATAGAATATGCATAATTAATTAATTGCACAAAGATGAGGCTACGGGTGTTTCTTAAATTTCATCTTCCATTGACTATATTTTCAGAATGTACAAAAAAGAAGTGTATTTATTTCAACGGGACATGGCAAATAGGTTGCAGCCTTGCAATCTCAATCTTCTCCTAGCTGTCCTTACTTTAAGAAGAAAAGGAAAACATTTGGTGCTCAAATTACTTTTAGGTTACATGTAGAAGAAATTAGAGTTTTTATGGAATTTTTTAGCAAATCATATTTGGTTCAATTAGAAGATAATGAAAATACTTTCTAAAATGATGAAAAGTGATCTCATGTGCAAGTACTATGAAATTTTAAGAATGTATCCCAATTTCATCAATTTTGATAGAATTCATGGTTTCATGTCTGATTGAATTCCATACAAGGCAAATGTTTTGTCATTTAATATAAACTTCTTTTCTCCAGTTGGAATAAATGTGCTTTGCAAATGAATTCCTTAATATTTTTAGATTTGTATAAATATATAGCCCGAGATTTTTTTTCCACATCTTGGATACTTGGCAGGCGTGCTAACTCAATCTGTTTTATCTTTTGACTGGATTCTTGCCAACATCACGCAGGGCCCTGGAATCTGTAAGAACTTCATTCTTGATGCTGCTTCGAAGGTGACTTCATAAATGAAAACATCCCTGCTTTCTTATGCTCTTTGTTATAAATCGACTTCTGCAACTAACGTCATTAGTATCTTTATGATGACCACAGATGCCCATGCTTCGACAAATATCATTAGATTTATGTGACGCAAGCGAGGGTGACTTTGACATTCCAGATGTGAGTAGCTAAGCTTTTTCTTCCCTCTTTTTTTGTAATACCTGCTATATAATATTTATGTCGATCTGTGTAAGTTCAGCGATTATGCTTTTGTGATTTCCTTAATAGAATTTTATGTCTCAGCAAATTTAGAGAAAGATTGTAGTTATTTTTTAGTCTAATATGTTTTGAGTAACACTTAAGCTCCATTTGGTTAAATTTATACACATAAATTTTAACTATTTTGTTCTGTTTTCATTCAATTCCTAAATTTTTAACTATTTTATATGTAAAGTTTAGTTCATTTACATATTTGATTCATTTCATCAACCAATATCACTTATAATTTTAGTTTCACAATGTTGAATTTTTGTTGTTGTTAAGAAAAGAGTTAATAAAAAGTCTTTTAACTTAAATAAGACATGAACTCGATTTAGAATTTTAATACGATTTTTGTCTAAAATTTCATTTATACAATAGAATTAAGATTTGAATCAAATGCAACATTAAGACTTGTGTCCACTAAGAATTTGACCTGCCAAGCTAATTCATGTCAGTTAGAAGCACTTTTTGAGTCTTGACTCTCAGTTGTTCTCCTGCCCTTATAATATATATAAGTTCAGTCCTGTCTCTTATGCTGTTATGAATTCCAGCTTTATAATAGGTGCTTCTTAAGTACTGTCAAGATTGCGAGGTGCAAGTCTCAAAAATGCGCTTTAAGCCTTCAGCAAGTTCAAGAGGCACGAGGAAGGCCAGTGCATAAAGAGACATTAGTGTTGGCATGGAGCAGCAGACATTTGGCTAGGACAGTGGTGAAGGAAAGACTTTAGCATTACCAATGAGAGGGGGCAACCTCCGACTGTTCAAATCATATATGTTTTTTTGTGACTGTTTAGTGCTTTATAACTTACTTTTTTTTGTCATTATATATAAAATTATTAATTTTATAGATTATCATCCTGGAAGTTTTTTGTTACTTTTATTAATTTTGATATTTTTGAAGTGGAAGTTTTTAAATATTTAAACGGCTAGACATATACAGATTTCTGAAAAAATTAATATTTTATGTTAAATGACAAACAAATATGATTAAAGACTACTAAATCATAGAAGAGAAAAAAAATCATGAGTTTAGACTGTAATAAAATGGAATTATGTTAGTACAATAATAGTCTACGAATTGTGGTATATGCATAATTGTAACATAATTTTTTATTTTTGTATTTGGATTACTTCGTTACCACTTTCCATATTTTATAGTTTTTAAAATGTGAGTTTGAATTCTTTTGTGGGTAACTCAATATCATGTTATGTGCATATCTAAGATTGATACGAGAATTTTAACTAAAAATTACCTCACGGTCTAAAAATATTTTAACAAGAATAAAATAAATTCTAAACTGTTAGAAATACATATCATTATTAGAAAAAATAAATTTGAAATTGAGATAAATTTAAAATTGAAACGAAAAATCTTAGTTGAGCGCTCCTGTTCTTATAAATTATATTTTAGTTTTATTATAATTTTAAATAAAAATAATATTTTATGCGAGTTAAATTTTAATAATTAAAAAAAATAAAAATTTCTGAATTAATTTTTTTATTAAAAAAAATAAAAAAGAAAACAGTAAGAGGCTGGTTTTTTTTTATCCCTCTCCATCTCACATTTGACTGGTTTCTAGAGCATTAGATGTGCAACAAGTAAATTTCTTAAATGTCTGAAAGCAAACAGTTTGAAGTTCAGTTATTATTCCACCAGTGCTCGGATTAAAGTTGTAAACTAAAAGTAAAAACAAATATTTACCTAAAAGGCAGAGATAGTTTTTCACTGTTTCTATTCCCGATTTTGACCCTAATTTGTTTACTGAGATGCCGGATTTACCCCTGAATGTTACAAAAACTGCAACCGTATCCAAATTTAAAGTACAACTTGAGCCCAACGCTCGCTTCCTCCAGTCGCTCCCTTACCCCCAACACCTCCGGTTCTAGAAGTCTCTCACCGGTCCGAGCGGCGTAGGTGAGGCTTCACGGCTCCCTTCACCTTCCCTCTCATTTAATTCTCTATATATCTTCGCATTTTCTTCTCCTTTCTCACGCTGTAGATTTTTCTTTATCGTTTCCGTTGAATAATATTGTCCTTCCGATTCTCTATACAGATAAGCAGAGATAAAACTTTCTCAACCTTGACTTGGGGCTCGCTTTTTTCCGACGACTAAGGTACGTGCTTCAGACTCCTGCTCACTGTGCACTGAAATTCTTGGATTTGTTCGATTATATGAGTTATTTTCTTTGTTGTTTGATCGATTACGTGAACCCGGTGTTCATTAAGAATTAGGTTAGTTGTATCTTTTGTTTATTCTATTTGTAATATCAGGCGGGATAAGACTTTAATCAAGAATTAGTCAGGGCATCAGATGCTAACGAACCCCTGTTGTTGCCACTAGATTAGGGCGTTTCTTTGTTGGAGGTGTTGAGGTTAGGTTTCTTAGTAGATTGCTAATTAGTTACTCACATTGGTTGTGAAAGCTTATAACGAGTGGGCAACCCAAATAATGAAGGAGAAATGTTTTCTCTTATTTTCTTCTTAGGAATTTGCAGGGACCTTGATGGATTCTTTAATAGAATTGTGTCTAGACTGCCCAGGTAGAGCTAAGCATTGCTATCAAGCTAATTAGACAGAGAAGGTTCTTCTGGTTCAATCTTTTGGTTTCTACCAATAGTCGGTTCTTAAGCTGTATTTTTACTTAACTGAAATGTGGTTAAGCATGATCCGGCAATAAATATAAATCAAATGGAGTGCCAACCACATCATAAATCAGGTTGATGGTCCTTTTTCTTTCTTCTGTAGAAGGGATGTGTAAGAGATATATGGTGTAGGAGAATAGGAGAAAGGGAGGAATATCCTTATGCTTTCAGTTCATTTTTTGTTGGTACCATGATTCTAAAATTATATATGTTGATCATTCTTACCTTTGGAGCTCTCTTGCAGTGACTCCATTTTGAATATTCTTTTTTGGAATTGAACAAAATAATCAAACATAAGCAGGATTCAATGAAATAATGCAATTTATTTCAGACTAATGCAAAACTAAAAGTGGGTGAAAGAATTAAATGTGGGTGAATTGTATAATAATCATGGTATGCATAGTTGACCTAGTGCTCCTAAACTACTATAAGTCCTGAATGTGTCAATGGGCTGCTTTGAACTCTCAATATGGGTTCCAATCCAAAGGCCTTGAAGCATAACTTACAGAGTTTTTTTCATTTTTTTTGGCTGTTTAATTGCATTAGGAAGATATGGATGAAACTCCTTTTTATATAGTATGATTATCTGTTAGCAGGAGCAAGAATGCCAAAGGTGAAAACAAACCGTGTCCAATACCCAGAGGGCTGGGAGTTGATTGAGCCTACTCTTCGTGAACTACAGGCAAAGATGAGAGAAGGTTGTCATCTTGAACTCTAAGCCCATTCCTTCTGAAAAGCTTCTTTTACTGA